GGGTTTAGTTTTTGAGATATTTGGCTGGATCATTTAAAATGGGACACCCTGTATAATAAATAAAAGCGTATTAAAAACGTATTCAGCGTTATATTCTGTTTTGCTTAATTCTCCCCCTTATCCCCTCCTACAAAGGTATGAAGTGATGAAACGGCTTGAATTGCTTGGATCCATCATTAATTTCTTTGCTAAATGAACGCTAATCATGTTGGTTCTTATTACAACTACAATAATTCGCGGAAGCATTAACGCCAATGGCGAATTTGATACATAATTCTTAAAGTATTTCAATCAAATAATTACTTCGTCTCACATCGATAATGCCAAATTCCAAAAAAGAAACAATGCCAAATTCCATTCCAAAAGAATAATACGTAATTATTAATTTAAAATTCCAAATCCATTATAATTTATCAAATAATATGAGAGACTCTGTAGTATGCGATACGCCGGCGGTAGCAGTCTCATGGTTTGCCGCTCGACCTTGAGACTCGCTCCTACTCTGATCATACTTCCCCCACTCTAATAAACAATCTGCTACTCTTCCAAACCTATATCCCGCTCGCGCACCGCGCCGAACCGTCTCTCTTTCTCCCAACTCCGCGCACGGCGCGACGTATCATATGACGCAAGAATTCTACGCCAAACCGCGGGTCATAAGGTAAATAGGCGACATTCCGTGAACGCGAAAATGCAGTAATTAAAAAATGCGAAAATATCTAAATGGTTATTATTAAATACGTTATTATTAAATACGTTATTATTAAATACGTAACAAAATTGGTGACAGCGGTGGGATAGTAACAGACAATCACTGCACCCTAACACTGTAATTCAAAGATGCGAAAATATCTAAATGATTACTACTTAATACGTAACATAATTGGTGACAGCGGTGGAATAGTAACAGGCAACCGCTGCACCCTAACACTGTAATTCAAAGATGCGAAAATATCTAAATGGTTACTACTAAATACGTAACACATACTCGTATATTAATATATTCTATGTACGTATATAGTATATATATATATATTAATATGATTTTATTTTGTAATGTTATGATATCATATATTTTTGTTGCAGAAATATATATGCAAATAAAATAACACGGGAAAAAAACAGGTAATAGATAATATTTTCTATTTTTCATATGAGATTTAATGTGTAACAAAATTTTATACTATCAGCAATATGGAATCTGAACAGAAACACTGCCAATTATTGTTGATGACGTGGATGCTGAGATAGTTAAACCGTAAGTCTTAATTTATTATAAATTACATTAAATCGAATGTAGATTTTTATTATCATATTTGTGTAGACTAATATTAATTTTCATCAAATTTTATTCATTTAACCCTGTAAGGCCCAGTACATAATTAGGTACATTCACTTTGAGCTTTCCTAAATACTATTTCTATTGACACTGTGATATGGCGCTAGTAAGCTTATTTTAGTAATTTAGTTATGTTAGGTGGCGCCCTAGTAGTATGTTTTGTGCGTTGGTTTTCCTCTCTCTAATATATAATATATATTCTATTCTAAGATCGTCCCTTTTTACTTTCGTATTATTGCTTCCTGCGTACACGTTTATATCAATTATTATCATCAAATAAATATTTTATTTACGTTAATTTCCGAACGTTATCATTAATCCCACCGGATCATCACTGTTGTGAGTATTGCGAAGGGAAAGTGGTACCGGAAACCAGGTCCGCTGGTGATGTCAGAAATATACTGAACATATACGAGGAGTCAAGAGGTGTCGAAAAGAGTAGAGAATTAGAGCGATGTACAATGAGATGTGCTGCTGAGCTTTATTCGAAGTCAACTGACAATAGTCTAGAATTAAGCGATATACGTATAGAGGTACCGAGAGGTAACCTTCGCTTCGCGGGAAAGACAGAAAAGTTACGAATATATACATCGTGTGACACGAAGTAAATAGCTGATCGGTAGAAAAACTATCATGAATTCTGACCGTGTCGGTATCGATAACAAGCGCGTTTTGAACAGAATAATTGTTGACAGAAATAAACGCTGAAAGTAAATCGATAACGAGCACACATGTTTAATAATATTATTTATATGAATCTCTGAATATAATATGCCGATATAAAATAATTAGTGTACTGAACATTTACTGAGTTTAGTCTAAACAATCACATATTATATTAGCGACGAGGATTAAAGTTACAAGCCTGTGCAATTCATAACGACCAAGGCAGCCATAAGTTAAAAGGTTAGAAATACCGAACGATTTTGATAAGGAAAAGCAGCAATTGCAGAAGGTGCAAGAACAGATGATTGAGCAGCAGCAAGTACTCGATCGTAGGAGAAAAGAACAAGAGCAATTTAAAACTCATTGTCAGTTGCAGCAGAACAATTGCAGTTAATCGAATTGCAAAAGCAGTTGCAGCAGCAAAAAGGCGAAATTCATCTGGTGCGACAGTCAGTCGATGCAAGTAAAGAAATGCAGAGAGCAAATAATGCCAAGCATCACATTTTATTCTACAATCGGGGCATTTAGCAGAATTTCGCATCGGTGAAGATTGGAATTTTTACCAGGTCTCGGGCAGTACTTTGTTGCTAATCAAGTGTCGCAGAAACGTAAAGTAGCAGTATTAATAACCCTGATAGGACAGGACGCATACAAAATCTTAAAAGACCTCTGTGATCCCGTATTACCAGAATCCAGGTCTTATGAAGAATTATGTGAGATATTGAAGAAACAATTTGCCTAGAGTATCAATCTTTAAGGAAAGAATCGAATTTTACGATTTGAAGCAAGTTGAAAAAGAATCTGTGAACGAGTGGTTTGCCCGAATTAAGAGCAAGGCAAGCAATTGCAAATTTGGTGTACAACTGGACGACTACATCAAAGACAGGTTCGTGGCCAAATTAAGAAGAGGGTCAATTCTGGACAGTCTGCAAAGAGGATCATACGGCAACGCTTCAATCTGTTTTGGAAGTGGCTAGGAAGAAAGAAGCAGCTCTGGCAACATCATCCAAGGCGGATACGGTGGATATCCACAGCATAAGACAAGGAAAAGCTAAGGTGGCTTATCGGAAAGGAGAGGGACAGGAAAAGAAGAAAGCAGCGGAGCAGCATCAAGAATCCCTAGAGGAACCGAAGTGTGTGCATTGCGGGGGCACCAAGCATGTTTTCGCAAAGTGCAAGTACAAGGCATACAAGTGTAAGATTTATAGTAAAGTAGGCCATTTGGCTAAAATTTGTAAAAGCGGTAAAAATGCAATATCTAGTACAAATTATTTAGAATCGGAAGCGAAAAACGGCGATACGAAGATTGTAGACATGTATAATTTATGCAATGTAGTTAACAGCGAGGAGCCTTTAATGATTAATGTTGATATAGAAGATCAATCTATTAATATGGAATTAGATACAGGTGCAGGTAAATCAATAATACCGGAGAAAATTTTCAAAGAAAAATTTGGACAGTGCATATGGCGCCAGCAAGTAGGCCGCCCGCACATACGGGCGCTGCAAAACAAAAACCAGGCGCAGCAAGTTTTCGCACAAGCACTACGCGGGCCCCGTTTTCTCGCGAGTGCTTGCGTCGAGCATACCGCGAGTAGCGCAACGCAACCCCCAGGGGACGAAAGCGCAAAGCGTGTACTCACGCGAGAAACTCACCCCAACGAGGGATAAAAAGCCCGTCGCGACAACGGCCCGACGCTCACGGCGCTTCCGAGAGACTACTGTGTTGTAACCAGGAAAAGACGCTCCGGCTATTCTCAGCACAAGAGAGAGTGTATCCCAGCAGACAACCTGCAGCGAGTACCGAGGCCCGCAGAGGGGCTATCCAGGCTGGCCACCGCTTCACGGGACTACCACGGGCAGCGACGGGGAACTGGCAGCTGCACAGGCTGGATATATCCCCGAGGCGCCTTCGACTGATGTTGCCGCCAAGAGTGACGTTCAACGAGAGGGACAGCCGCCGACATCGATCTACATCACCGAGCTACCTTTTTGCGCCAGAGTTGTTGTCATCCTTGCCGGACACTCCTCCCGGCCGAGGCATCATTCTACCACGCCGCCCACAGCATCGGCAGCAACGCAGACGTCTGAAGGAGAGTGGACACCGACAAGACCGCCGCAGGGAACATACTTGTCGCATACGCCACCGGGCATACCGCCAGAGTGGAGAAAATACCTGCGGCCCTTGGTCCCGCCTGACTGTATCCTCGCGGACCGGAACAACAACGAGCAGGAGTCTTTGCGGTGGACGACCACACTGCCGTAACTCAGCTACCGAGAGCGACTAGCGCCGTAACTCGCGAAAAACGGCCCTTTTCAGGGCCCCCTGTATATATATATAAACGTGTAAATATATTGTACATAGATTCGTACATCACTGTGTTGTAACTGCAGCATTTTCGCTACTCCTGCTTTGTACCGTGCGCACGGAGAACAGTGAGGCCGATAGCGACGGTCATCATTTTTATCCTGTGAAGTGAGCCCCTCGGGCCTTCACGCAAAGCGAGCTCTCCCACGGGCCTTTGCCGCAAAGTGAGCTCTACCACGGGCCTTTGCATTGCGGAGCGAGCTCTTATACGGGCCTCTGCGTATCCTCGAAGTGAGCTCATCCTCGGGCCTTCGAATTCAGAGCGAGCCCCTTTTGGGCCTCTGTACAACGGTCCTGGCCGTAGGCAACTACCACCCTGCCACGGAAACGCCGACGGGACTGCTCCGGTCCCCCTCACACCACCGGTGAACTTCCTCCGGAGAGGCCACTCTCGACCCGGGAATTAGCTTCTTCCCGTGGAAGCTCGTACCACTGAGGTTTCCACGAGAGAGTACTCTCATCAGGGACCCTCGACGGCGGCCATCCACCACCATCGGGACGCAGACGAATGTGTGGCCTCCGCTGCCATCCGCACCGTTACCGCCACCGGAGGAACTCGAGGAGTTCAAGATCGGACCACCGCTCAGCCCGCTGCCGCTCACGCCCGTGAAACCGAGGACGCCGGGACGAAGGAAGAGGAAGAGGAAGCGGATTAACCCGCGGTTATCCCAGCAACTCTTCGGGACCGACTCCGACACGGGAGACTCCGACAAGGAAAATACTTTACACTGACACATACACACACACACATTCACACGCGCCGCAAGGCGCCATAAAGAAATCCATTTAATACCAAGAGGTACTACTGTATAGTGTACAAATCTTAATAAAGAGCAATCTATTTTTAATTGTGGAATCACATTCATTAAGCGTGCACCCATCCACATAAGGAAACGACCATTAATGCCTATTTAATTGTAATTAAGAAAAGAAGTAGGATTTTAATGGGCAGAGATTTAATGAAACTTTTGAAAATTGAGATAGCATCCTTGTATTCGTTAAATGAGAACATTAGTCTGGAGGGATCATTGCAAGAGTATAAGGATTTATTCAAGGACGAGCTAGGTAAATATAAGTTTGAAAACATAGACCTTAAGTTAGCACGAGAGACAAATCTGATTTTTGTCAAGCCAAGGCCAATACCGTTAGCATTCAAGGAGAAAGTAGGTGAACAGCTGAAAGAATTAGAAAAAAAAGGAATAATCGAGAGAGTTGATAACTTGGTATGGGATACGCCATTAGTGCCAATCATTAAAAAAGACGATAGTTTAAGAATTTGTGCGGATTATAAGGTAACAGTCAATAAATATCTTGAAGACGTTAAGCATCCATTAACAAGAATTGAGGAGTTATTTGCGGCATTAAGCAACGGAGAATTTTTCACGAAATTAGATCTCACGGCAACGTATAATCAGTTGGAAGTTTCGGAAGAAACCAGTAAACTATTGGCTTGGAGTACTCATAAGGGAATTTATTTACTTAAAAGGTTACCTTTTGAAAACAAACCAGCTTGTTCAATTTTTCAGAGAACTATGGAAAAGATCTTGCAAGGTATAAAAAACGTAATTAATTTCATAAATGATATTGTAATTATAGGCGCGAATAAAGAAGAGCATTTGCAAAATTTAAGAGAAGTATTTATCAGGTATGTAAATATGAAACCGGAATTTTTTTATAGAAAATACGCGTTTATTGCATGAAAATGATAAAAAATATTTTATTTGAAGTATTGCCCATCGCTAACTATACATTTTTCCCACCTGTCTGACAATTTGTGGATGCCACGCCAAAAAAATTGTTACTCTTATGAGCCAAACCAGTCATCTAGCCATTTTCGTACATCTTCGTAAGAAGTGAAGCGCTGCTGAGCAAGTGCGTGTCCCAT